AATGGGGTCGTTTTCCTCAAAGAGGGGGTCGTTCTCCGCTAAAAGTGCACATTGGAGACGAGTTCAAGCCTGGCACGAAAGGATAAACATTTAAGCCTAAACCTAATTTCGACCAGTTGCCATTGAATTTTATGGACCCTAACAATTCTCGTAAATTCTTTAGACCTCGGGAATCCCGTTGTGGAAAGGGGCCAGCCCACCCTCGACTAATGAAGCCATTCGATTTTTCATTTCCAGCACCATTTCCATGCCTATGCCAATAGACTTCCTTATTTGGACCTTTTACACATGCAAAAATGTTAATTAATGGCCAAGACAACGATAATTCAGCGGAATTGCTCAGAGAGGGTAACTGTGAGCTTGTTTGGCACAGCAGGGGATTGAACCAACCAGCGATTCAGCCGACAGTGGCGCCTCTCTCCAAGGCACTGGACTGTCAATATCGAGTTTGCCTAATTAAAGTTATCTAATAAAGCCTAATTTTCTTCCTTGCAGTGGAACAAGACTTGGAAAAACGAGCTGCTGACGAATTTCTACGTACCGGAATCAACATCACTCAAAATCGGTAGACGAGTACGACGCTTCTGAATGCCGCTGGCGAACGACGTCATTATGTAAATACTATACGACGCACCGATCCCACCAACAACCAGACCACATATGGACCTAATGACCACCTGACCTCACGCGACACACTCGCGCGTATAACCAGTGAAACTCGTCCCTTATTGCCTACGTAGGGTCGACGTAACGGGTATGACGTCCCATATTTCCATGGTCCAGGTCCAAGTACCCATACACAAGGTGGGAAATCAGTGATTGTTCTCCGAGTTTCCCTATCTCTAGTGATACTGCACCTGTCGCTGTGCGATAGGTTATCTCCCTATTTCCCTATTTCTCCAAATATATCAATAGTATCTTGTCTTGTGATTTTCTGCTCAATCTCAGATGGCATTTACACATCAATTTCTGTGTACATACAACCGGTCTTGTTTAGGTTGTTTGTGTTTGTCAATGTAAGAATAAATAAATTTGGTCTTGAATTGTGGTTTCAGATGTTTTTCTCCGGCGGTGGAGCACTTTTACACCGATGATTAGGAAGGTTAAGCTAGTTAGAAACTCGGAATTCTTCCTCGATAACACCTTGACATTTGCCTCGACTGCAT